TGTGTGTGTGTGTGTGTGTGTGTGTGTGTGTGTGTGTGTGTGTGTTTGGTGAGAAGGAATAATGATTAAAATCTGAATGTGAACAGTTAAACATCAATTAGGCAAATCTTGGCCAATGTTTACTTTTCTTGAAGTTTCTCTGTTTATTTTGTGCATAATCTATGCAATGTTACTATATAGAGGTATTTCTCTTTGCTGTATTTGTTGTTTTGTGTGTGATATTGCCTCATAGATGATATACTTAGTCCTCTAGTAAGGATGGGATAAAAAAATGGATGTTTCTGTATTAGAAGCAGAAGCAGTTTATGATGGGAAATATTTACACTCAAGCATGGTCTCTAATATGTTTCAGTTTGTTATTGCCAGCAGGGCTTAAAGTGAGCAGTGTTGACAGTCTGCCACTCTTCTGATGAGTCCTTTTGCTTTTTGTTTTTTCCCTGGATCACTTGAGCGTAGCTTGGCAGCCTGAGATGATGAAGAGCAGCTGGAAGAGGTTTTAGGATCAGGAGCCAGTCCCAATCCATTGCCCATCAGGAGCCATCACTAATGTGGCCTGTGCTAATTGTATTCAGTTGCTATTCTTCCCATAGAACTGAGAACTAGTAAAGGGTTTCCAAAGAGGAACCAGGCTGGTCAAAAATGCCAACTAGAGGTCCACAGCTCTGCATGCACCTATAAGCTGTAGATCTGGGTTAAAAACAGAAAAACTTGGGGACCATGCTGTCTCTGTTTATCCTCACATTCAAGTGTCTCACCACTTTCAATAATTTGTAACATTCCATGGTTCTCAGCATCTCTTACAATTAATGTAATAATCCAAATATTTTGCTGATGAATTTGCTAATTTCTTTAATTTCTATCCCACAACAGCTAAAATCATGTCCCCCACTCAACAATGCAAAACTTCATTAGGACATTGCTGAGGGTATACATAAGTTTTTATGTGTATGTTCATGATGTGATCTTAGTATATTCTCTTTTACTTTCCTTTCTTGGCCCACCGTTTCCTTTCCTTTTTCACATCACAAATAGACTTCTCTTTAATGTATGATATTTCTCTTTATTTGTCTGGCTTCTTTCATGGAATATGGTCATCTCCAGTTCTACCCATTTTCCTATAAATGAAATAATTTCATGATGGGTAAAACTCTATATATCTATCTGTATCTGTATCATCTGTCTACCTATATCTATATAAGTATAGGTAGAGGAAACAATACATGTGTTGTTTCCTTTACCCATTGACCCATTGATGGGCATCTAGGATAATTCTTCAATTCATGATGATGTATGCATTTCAAAACTTTTCATTTAAAAATACAGTTAACTTGATTTCTTATTGGTTTGCAAAGACAAGTAGGAACACCAATATAAACGAACATGACTTGCTTAGAGTCCAGATTTTGTTTAATATTCTCTCCCTACCAGAAAATTTCACTAGGTGGGAAATATCAGAACAAAGGTTTCCCTGGAGATATTTGTGTTTGCTGACTCACTATATCATCATACATGATATTAAGTTATTATTTTTACAAACAGAGACACAGTAGAAGAGGGCTATTTTACTCTTTCATCTTCTGCCATTGTTCTTAAATTTAAATAACTCACATCAAAGAACTCGGGCATGAGACCAGAAAATGTCTCAGAATGCTATTTTGTGATAACAGCAGCTGTATAAAATGCATTCTTATTCACATTCTCGTCAAAGGGTGTGGAAGCAGGCTGGTGAGAAGAGGCTTAGTGGAGAGGTCCTGGGGAGCAGGGAAGAACCTTGAATGTGAAAATGCTCTCTACCTCATGCTCCTACTAAAATTGCTTTCTCCCCTTTGTTCTTGGATTCTTTTCTCCCAGACATGCCTATGGTTTGGGAACACCAAGTGCATTCTTAGCAAGTTTTGGAGTGCACATGGTGTGGACTAGATTTGTGAAGTTCCTTTTTAAAGTTAAAGCAATCAAAATGAAATTTCTAGGTAAAATAACTCAGGTAGGAATTTTCTTGGTGAAAATCATACATATTTTAATTTGCTTAGGTAGGTTTTTTAATCTTCAGGAAAAAATTCACTAGAATTCTATATTAAAGTTGAATAGAACATTGCTAAGAAAATACAGAACAAGGAAAATAATGAATTTATGGCACTGTAGGTAGAAACACTTGCCTCACATACATTAGGATCTAGGCAAGATACCCAGAACTGCATGAGTCACATGAGGTAGCAAGTGCATGTACTCCCAGTGTTGCAGACATAGAAGAGAGATGATAGAGTTGAAGACCATCCTGGGCTACATGGCAAGTGGGAGACCAGCCTGGGCTATATGAGTTCCTACAAGAAATGTTTTAAAAAGCAACTACATTTGTAATTACAAAATCAAACTTCAGATGCCCTTTCTCTGTGATCTATGTTATTAAACATTGACTTGTCCAGGACTTCATCTATAAAATGAAAGAAAATGACATCAGAATTGTTACGTAGATTTAAATAGGAACAAGTTTGTAGTACTGTTTGTGAATGGACCCTGAAACTATGAAGTTAAATACCATGTTTGTTGTCTTCTTGTGGCACAAAGGGCATTGATTTTAACTGTTAC